ATATATATATAGTGTGACTTACATGAAGTATGTGTTACAATTAAACCATGTGCTTTTAGAGTGTACACATCGAGCTCGAGTGAATTTGGAGTGTTAATTTGGAGTGCTACAGCTGTGAGGAACAGAGATTGACAAGATGTTGATTTGATTCTCCAGATCTCAGATGTCGCTGTAATGAATGCACTCAAGGACAGTGCAGTGGTGGTTACCCATACAGTTGTGCCAGAAAAATACAGGATCACAGATGATAACAAAAAAGGAATACTTAAGAGCCCTGTAGGTATTACAATGGGTCCACTTGGCAACGTTTTCATCAGTGATGTTGGAACTGGGAAAATTCTGAAAGTCAGAGCTTCTCACTATCCAGCAAGTGTAGCAGTTGAAGTTGACTCTCTGGACTGCCCAGTTGGAGTTGCTTTCAATAATGGTGTTCTCCACATCGCAGAGTCAAGAAAGAGTACCATTGTATACAAAGATCTTACTGGAGAAACTGTAGTTGATCCTAGCAAGCTAACTGTTAAGCAACTGCAAGCTAAACTAAAGGATGCAGGAGCCTGGGAGGATAGTGACAAAAGGAAAAGTAAGAAGCCTTTAAAGGAAAAGTTGCCAAAAATCTTAAATGAAAAAGCATCAAAGAAGAAGTCAAAGATCTGTAACCACCTACAGTTAGAGCAGGACATCACACATCCTCTGTCTTTGACCTTTAATAAAGATGGTCATCTTTTTGCATCAACGAAAGAGGGGAAAATTTTCAAGATAAAAGTTGAAAGCAACCTTGTCAGCTTGTCAGGAACGGTTCTTGCTGAAATATCACTGAATTGTGGCCTTTTGTATGGACTAGCACTTGTGAATGAGAAATTGTACGCTGCATCCCATGATGATAATGGATGAATCTATGTGGTAAATTTCCAGGATGGTACATCTGAGAAAGTTGCTAGCAATGGGAATGAATGCTCCAAGGTCCATAGCCTTACAATGTACGAAAACAGCTTGATGTTTAGTGATACTGGAGATCACTCTATAAGTGTTCAATCCTGTCACACAGGAGTGCACTCCACATCTAGCAAACGGAAAGGTAACAAGAGATGGAAAGAGTGCCCAGTTTGTCCAGCCAGCAGGGTTGATTGCCGAACGAAGAATAGTGTTTATAGTTGATTGTTCAATGGGTTGCTTAAGGATGGTAAGCAAATTTTCTCCACTGGTTAAATAACTTGAGAATTTAAGAGAGTTTGCCAGCACATTAGGCTTACACCAAAAGAAGCAGACTCCTGTGTCCTTTACACTTGACAGAGCGATTACCAGAATTCAAGACATATACAGCTTTAACTGCCAGTGCGTAAATCAAGTGAAAGCTTTCCTTGGGACAACAGCCCAGACACAAGGTCCCCAAGGTACTGTTTCTACAGTTGTCTTAAAGGATGAGAATAATAATAATAATAATAATAATAATAATAATAATAATAATACAACATAATATTTTAAGAGGAGGCCTCCAATCACCAAGAGGTGGTTTTCAGGAGGGTCCTCTGAGAGAATAAATGTTAAACCTTTAAAATACATTAAAATCTAAAGTACAATAAAAAGGACAAAAACCTATGCGGTAAGCTAACTAAGATTAAAAACTAAAACAAGAATTAAAATACTACTAACTAAGGTTAAAAATGGTTTAATAGAAACTGTTTCAGTTTGTATTTAAAAATAGTTTTTGGCATCAGTTTCTTTAAAGCACTTGGTAGTGTGGCCTAGTCGTTAATGGCTTTATAAAAGAGAATCTTGCAAGCCTTAACGGACATTAAGGATCTCCTAAGTCAACATGTCCCACAACTTCTTGAGGTGTTCAAAATGAAGAGTCTTTTGACGCTGATTTGCGAGAACTTCTTTTCGGAGATGAGAGCTGGATCATACGATATGCCATTGCAGCTCCAGTTTGATTTTCGACTCAGCAGGGCCCTAAAGGAGCGCTTGGAACAAATGTGTAAAACAAAATTCTGCTACTACACAAATGCCGTCTCATTACCCAAGAGTGAAATCTGATTTAAGGTATTCAGAACTACCTAAGACGTCCCCGCCCTCATCAGCACAGTTAACCAAGCCGCAAGTGCAGGAAATGAGAGACTGGCAAATAAAACATGGGCAAAGTGTTCCACAGAAAACGATGAGAAACATGAGTACAAAAGACAACCCAGGTACTGTGCCGATCAATCTCTATTTAACAGAGCAGCCTACAAGTCAGCCATTTGATTTCGGTAAGATTGGAGAGGTCCAAGGAGAAACAGTAGTTACCACAAGCGAGAGGGGAGGAAAGGAGGGGTCAAGTGATCTTGTCCAGTTGTCTGGTGACATTGTCTATCTTGCCTCAGATGCTTCATCTTGCAAAATAAAATTGTATGTATTGCAGCAAGATGTAACCACTGCTACCAAAAAAGCAAGGGCAATGTGGTTTGATGCCGATGTGTTCAATCCATTAACTTTCACAGAAGAGGCAGAAAGGGAAATCAGTGTTAAGGACATGTGGATCTTTGAAAGAAAGCTTCGTTAGAGACAAAATTATCGAAATGAGTGAGAACAAATTTATTTATTATCAATCTCACATGATCGGTCATCGGAACATAGGGCAATTTTGGAAGGGAACAAGAGAACAAGGCCCCCCCTGGGAGACCCTCCTTTCTCCGGGTGTTTCATTGGGTAGTAAAAGTCAGGCTTTATAATACATTTGACGATTTAAATCTCAATCGTTTTAACTTCAAATCATATAGTTTATCTTATAATCCCTGAAGCAGCAGAGCAGCTTAGTCTTTTTAGGCTGTGGTTTTGTGAGAATTCTTTCTCCAAGTGTTTCACCGGGAAAAAGTCAGGCTTTATAATACATTTTAATTGTTTTGACTTCAAAATCATATAGTTTAACTTATAACCCCTGAGGCAGCAGAGCAGCTTAGCCTTTTTAGGCTGTGGTTCTGTGAGAATTCTTTCTCTGGGTGTTTCAGCAGGAAGTAGATTCAGGCTTTATGATACATGTACATATGATGATTTAAATCGTACTGTTTTGACTTCAAAGTCATATAGTTTAGCTTATAATCCCTGAAGCAGCAGAACAGCTTAGCCTTTTTAGGCTGTGGTTCTGTGAGAATTCTTTCTCTGGTGTTTCATTGGGTAAAAAAGTCAGGCTTTATATACATTTGGTGATTTTAATCTTAATTGTTTTGACTTCAAAATCACATAGTTTAGATTATAATCCCTGAAGCAGCAGAGCAGCTTAGCCTTTGTGAGAATTCTTTCTCCGTGTGTTTCTTTGGGAAGTAAAAGTCAAGCTCATTTATGTTTTAATATAATTAAAAAGTATCTATCAAAGAAATAACGGAGTGGTTGCAATTACTCTATGTTCATAGCATGACTGTTTAAAAAAAAGGGATTGATATACAGTTTATGTGGAAAAATGAAAAAGTCATTACATAATTTGATTCCTATGAACTGAACAGTGTACAGTTCCATTACTCCTCTTTATCTGCTTCTGGAATGCCTGTAGATGTACTCTTGCAACATAAACTCTGACTGTTAGTATTCCATTAGTGGAAGTGTCAAACGTTGGACACCATATCAGTTTGCACTCCCTTGTTGCTCTGCCTTGCCCCTCACCAATTATTATTTGTGACTGTACAGTGGATTGCTGTGCAGTTCTCTTCTGTTTTGTAGCCTCCAGAGCAGCACGGCCTGACAGTCGAAGAGCACTACTTGCTAACTCTGTTGTGCCATTGTAGGCCTTAGGGAGACACAGGTCCACCATCATTTGCTCAGATGTGCGTTGCACATCTCCAATATCTTCAGTTTTAAAAGATTTCTTTCCACATTGGTGGCTTGAGGTGTTTGCATTCCTTTACTGCATTGAGGGAAGCACTGTCCATTCTTTTTAGTAGGTGACTAAAGAAGTTGAGTCTCACATTTGTAAAGGTGATGTGAAACCATTTTGCTGAAAAAAATGTGTGCAATTATTTAGTTTTTTCATTTTCCAAATTTTAAGAGTGACAGTTTTGTAAGCTGTTTTATAAGTCCTGAAATCTGAATACTTTTTCCTAGCCAGAAATTCTAAACCATGAACTTTTTCCTCATTGGCCAATTATTCCTTACAATTAAAAGAGGTAACAATGGCGAATTAAAGTAATACTTTTCACAGTGGTGGTCATGTCTGCATTGCATGAGTTTACAGGTGCAGGAGTAAACTGGGGCACAAGTTAAAACACCGCAAGCTAGGAAAGAAACACATGCGAGGGCGGAGGCGTATGAGGCCTTTCCTTGCTTGCTTCTATGTAAAAATAAAAGGGGAACCATGTCACTAAGGGAGTACATGAAGAATGACAGGCCCCCAGGACATTCTCCTTCTTGTTAGAGTGCAACTGGAGTTTAAAGGTGATTTGTGACTCATTAATCGTGCACAAGTAGCGTTTTTTGTTTACTTTGCATTTGATCATACTGTGCTGGCTTTCCATTTGATTCGTGAATTTAGTAGTCTCTTAATACCTTCACTCGATAATTAAAACAGTGATGGTGTCAACTTAAAAATAGCTTCAAATTTGAATTACTTGCTGTGAACATTGGGATTATGCGCAGAGTTGATGCACTCAACTACTTCTGCAAGCCATCTCAAGTACTGATTATGGCTTTTTAGTAGGTGGGGATGAACTTCCGGAGCTTTTCCGTTCGCTAGCAAAAATTCAATTCTTGCTGGTATATCATTTCCAGGATGTTTTGTATTGAAACGCTTCTCTAAAGACTTCCTTGTTTTAAACTCCTTTTCACAAAGAGGACAACGTCACATAGATTTCGGCCATAGCTTAGATCACCCTCTAATATTTTCACTGCTACAAACACAAATCTATTGTCTCTCAAAACAAAGACCACTTTGATTTAACTGTCAAACAAAGGTTTTTTTGGATGCCAATTTTGTCTGCTTTGTCACTTTGAAGTGAAAAAGCAGAAATTTCTCAAAGCAAAAACAAAAGCACCTTAATGGAGATATAGGTGGTGAGAATTTTACAACTGAACATGAGCTGAGCAAAAGATCGCTATAGTAATTCTCCCAGGATACAAGAAAACTAAAAAAGTGAGATTTTTGTAGTAATTTTTGAGAGTTTAGGAGAATCATTACCTTTAATCTGGATCAGTCTGAAGCTGCTTCAGGATGTAAAATAGCAAGATAACTTAAAAAAGAGAGTGAACAGAACAATAAAAGTGCTACAAGAGAGGCAATTGAAAGAATTTGTTTTTGCACATTTTATCTTTCTGGGAGACGTCAAAAGGCTACTGACTTGCTTAGTTAACACGAGCAAATTCTCATGACTTACTGAGGGTCATTTTGACTTCTGGCTGGATCGTTTCTGGTTTACATGGCAAGTCTTCAAAAAGAACTTAGGTAGTGGAATTTTAGAAATCTGTTCCAATTTGCTGTGATCAAGGAGGAGAGAAGGATTCATAAAGAGAGACGGAAAAGGCAAAAGTAGAGGCTCAAAGAACAAAAAAGAGAAAAGGCTAAGGAGGCGAGAATTGCTGATCGTTGCCGAAGGATTTAGAGAAGGGCCGAAGATTTGCTGGAAGAGCAAATCAAAAGTGGAGAACTAACAAGGAACACAAGAACGGTGGACAACGTAGATGCTGCCAATGAAAATAGAGGCCAAAAAAAGCAAAAAGAAAAAAAATGATGAAATGGCAGGGCCGTCGGGGTTGGAGGTTACAATGCTTTGCGCAGGAAAAGGACTGAAACAACGCAGCAAGGAGATGTGCCAGAGAAGAAAGATAAAACCACAGCTCCGTTAGTTGAAATATCATCGTTGAATGTAACCATCTCAACGAAGCTTTTTGGCAGCGGTTGCTATGGGTGCTGTTACCTCACTACCTATAGAGGAATGGAAGTTGGAAGCAAGAATTTTGTAGTATGAGCATGTAGAGGCAAAACACATGGTCAGGCAAAAGACAGGGTACGCAAGGAACTCGTTTACCAAGCCCACATGATTAGAAAACTCAAAGATCATCCTGGTGTTCCACTACTGTTTGGAGTTTGCAGCGAACATTCACCTCTCTGCATTCTTATGCAGTTTCACTGGGACAGGGAAAACTACAAATCCATTACGATACACCGCAAACTATCCAGTGAAACAATCTCCAACAGAATTACCTGACTCGAGATTATCAGGAAGTTTACCAATGCATTAGTCCATGTGCACAATGTTGGCTTCTTACACAATGACATTAAGACAAATAATGTCCTCTTGGATATTGCCGATGGAGCTTTCAAATCCAGTTATTATCAACTTTGGCGAGAGTCTTCCAATGAGCAGTGCAAAAGGACCAAAAGTTTTGTCCCAGGAGAAGCAAAAGAAGTACATGGAGGATTTTCCACACATTGCCCCAGAGATCGTCACTGGCAAAAGTGGACAGAGCCACAAAAGTGACATCTACAGCTTTGGAAAAGTTGTCAAGTCTATTTTTCGTAAAGCAAATTTGGGTCCTGTTCCACGAGTCATCACTCAGACATTGGAAGTCAATGCAAAGTTGCGCCCAAGTTTACAGGAAGTCCTAAATGCTACCTTTTAACTCAGTTTAGTTCGTATATAGAGTAGTACCTATGCCTAAAATTAACAGCAACAGTAATAGTAATTTTTCAGTACTAGCAACAGTTTTCGGTTTAGTAGCTAGGGAAATATTAAGGTTCACTGCTAATGTTTCACGTTTTGTTATATTCCAGGTAAGCAGTCGAAAACTGCATGTGCTCGTAGACTGTTAAATTTTACCATGGAAGTGACTTGTTTAAGTGATCCCTATTCAACTTAAAAGTTTGGTATATATTTTCTACTTTTAAGAGGCGAAACAAATGCTGTGTACAGTAAACGACACTGAATGATTGGACTTTTGGATTTGCTGTGAAATAGAATTTTTCTCTTTTTTCTACATTTTTTTAAATGTTTTTTTATTTGCTCGAACAATTACAAACAATTACAATTAAACTTACACTACAGTTACAAAAAAAACAGTCTACGGAGTATGTATCTACACATTACATACAACCAACTTACAGTATGTTACAGAAAAAAGGACTTTAACTAACCGCTTTGGGTTACATTGACATGTAATATGATAGACACTATAGAAATAATACAAGTACACTAATTACGAGACAATAATTATTACTAAAAATAATAGAAAGGTTACACTTGTTGAGGCATGCTACCTGGAGTACAGTATAATTATAAATTACAATATTCGCTCAATGAAATTTGGCATAGATTTCTATATTACTTTAAAATTACATTTGTTTATAGGGTGACGCAGTGCTGGTTGCTGGTTATCAGCATCTAGCTATTCAATTTCCGCTATTTTTGATTTTCAATTTTTTGACCCCTGCCAATGTTCTACGGTTCAAACATAGGGGTCCACGATTTGAGAACCCCATGAGTCTCGTAGTGAATGACTCTAACATGGAAGAAGCCATGATTTTACAGAAACTTCATCACCCTAACATCCAAATATTTTTGGGTTTAGCATGGCAAGGGAATGATGCCCATGTCATTTCGAAATTCCACAGCGTAAATGAACAATATTGTGGTCAAACATGGACGGAACGCATCAGTCTTGATACCAATATTAATCAACTTTGGCAAAGCTTGTTCCATACACGATGCCAGAGTGATGTCAGAGGAAAGAGATCTTTCACAGTTTCCCTTTCTCGCACGCGAACTGAACAAAGGTGAAAGGCAAAGCACCAAAAGCGACATTTTTTCTTTAGGGTATACGCTAAGGAAGGTTTCTCACGTTATAAAGGATTTCTCTCTGCGAGCTAGACAGAAGCTGTCTTTCTGCTGATCCTTGTGAGTGTCCAGAAATTACTACAATCACGGTAATGTAACTGAAATAAGTGACATCTTCAAATCACAGCTCCCAGTATTTTTAACACAGTCATTTTAGCTCACTTCGGAGCTCTTTTAAGTGGAGACTAGCCCCTTGGAATAGAGTTAGGGTGGTGAAAACCTACTAATTTGAGTGCACCCTGAAAGACACTGTCAAAACATATATTCTCTTGTAGTTACTGTTTCTTAAATGACATTATCAAACAGATATTTGCTGTAGTGTATAAAAAGTTTCCTGAATAAACTTTGAATGTCTGCTATCAGAGATTTTTTATAGTTACTGTTTCCTTCTCTTTTTTGTGGTGTATTGGGTCATAATAGTCACGCTTCTGGGATTGGAATAATTTCTTTCGGGAAGTTACACTGGACACCCAGAACAAAATGGAGCGGGTTGAGGTGACATAAGTGCGCCTCGCCACTTTTCCTTTAAGTGTGAGGCCAGGGTCAAATGCTGTACTTCACATGAGCCAAACCCAATTCAACCAATTAGGCTCATGTGAAGTTCGGCATTTGACCCAATTAAGTTGGACTGATTTTATTTGGAGCGGCTGAGGTATTCTTGAAGCCTAACCAGCTGTGAATAACACCTGAAGACCAACTTTGGGTTAAACGCCAATCTCCACGAGTCAAACCAAATGCATGATTAAAGGTCTGAAGGCACCGACACATTTTGACTTTACCTTGAAGAACCACTGACCAACAAGACCGCTTTGTTATTTGTTTGGTGTAGCAGTTTGGTTCGACTGAATTAAGTCCGACGCTTGACTTAAACAGGCGTTCTTTTAGTTATTTGAGTTGACCCAAACTGTCATTAGGTTCAGCTCATGTGAAGTACAGTGTTTGACCCAGGCCAGAGAGAAATAATTTAGTGACTACTCACTTTTATCATAACAAAACAAAACAATACCAAAAACTGATGACCACATGAAAATTTTTTTGTTGTTGTGATTACTTGGTGATGAAAAAATTATCACAGACGAGGGCACTAGTAACTAGGTTCGGCTCATGTGAAGTACGGCATTTGACCTGGGCCTGAGAGAAATTATTTAGTGACTACTTGCTTTTATAATAACAAAACAAAACAATACATGCATCAGGAGTTCTGGACTTCCTGTTGGATCGCACAGCATTATGGGTAGGCGGGTTCAGAAAAGTGGGCATCAACTTGCAGCTTGCAGCTCTGCCATATTGGATTACATTGAGTGGCTTGGCTTCAGTGACCTTTCATGCAAAGAAACCCTCCTTTTGAGCTGAATTACAGCTGGCCTGAGACAAGTGGGCATCAAATCATTGTTTGGTCGCCATCTCTGCTTGTTTGAAGTTGTTTCGCTTGATTTATTACCCTTTGCATTCACAATCAATCAAGACGAGAGTACAGAAACTCCAGTGACAAGGTCAAAACAGGTAAGGAGTCGTAAGAATATTTCTGTTATGTTTTGTTTTTATCTCCTAACTAAATAAATGGACAGAACTCGGACCTGAGGTGAAGCTCTAATAGTTGAATATGTTTTAACTTTTTATCTATATTGTTCTAATGTAGGTGTGATATGAGTCGTGAAGAGCTGCCTTTTGAGGTTATCCAGGCATGGAAACCTGAGCAACCGAAAGAGTTCTGTCGCAAGCGGGACTTAAAGGTTTCAGGACCCAAAGCTGAACTTGTAGCCTGCATATTTGCCGCTGCAGAAATGGGCATTGCCATCAAGCCAACTGCTCAGGAATGAATTACTACCCCAAAAAAGAGAAGGCAAAATTACTCATAATACCAAACGGGACCTCAGTTCCAGATCCTTTGACACTGAAATATGGTTGGGTGACAGGAAAGCAAGAGTATGACTTCTTGGTCGTCAATATATCTGAGTGATATAACATTGTTTTTGATGAGTGATCATCCAGGGAAGGATGTTGAGTTTCACAAATGAGTCCTAAATGAATACAAAGAAGGGAAGGTGTATTGTTTGTTTGACCCTGGCTGGTTGAAAGAGATATCATATCAGAAAATCATGGATGACTTGGAATATTGCTTTTTAAAAGCAAATTGCACTCATTCCATGAAAATATCAGATACACCGCATTCTACATGGATTTCTGGGAACAAGAATAATGGCTCTAAAGTCAGTGCTTACTGCACATGTTTTGCTAGGTTTGTATTACCAAGATAGATGAAAGGGAGCTTGTAGGGTCAAACCCTATTTTTCATAATATTTCATAGTTTCATGTTACCAATGTGATGGTGCTATATGGTGGTAGGGAGTCAACCATGGAATTAAAAAGGGTACAAGCTCATAGAAACTAGGAGAGAGTCATGCTATAGTATAAACCAGCTAGTGGTCTATTAGAAATCCTTCATTCTGATTGAGTGAGATACTAATGGCCTATTAATGATAGACTGTGCCTGGCAAAACCACCTGCTTTCTTGCAATTTGATATTTTTCAACACAAAATAATGGTATCCACACTCACAAAACAGATTAACTGGTTGGTCTATACTAAAACAATTAGAACTTGCATCTTTGTGTGGTATTGGCCTCCGGCCCTGTGGTGCATTTATCACATAGCACATTCAGACTTGTGGTCTAATTATTAAATAGGGAGATGAATTGCAAAAACCTAGGAGCAGGGCAATGATTCTTGAGCCCCCCAACAGTGTTGAGGTTTTTAGATGCTACATGATTATTTTCATTCCGTTTTTTTATAATTTCAGATCGAGCAGCTCTTACATTCACATCACAGCATTGCTGTTTAGAGTTGAGGCTGCTAATAGGAGTGGAATGACTAACCCAGCTTGTACATCAAGACAATGTGTGTGAAATGTCCATTCAGAAAAGACAGCACGCGTAGCCTCTATCAGCCGGTAGGAAAAAAGAGCGCTTTTGATGACAATTAGAGAAGTTTGTACAAGAATTTAAAGGACGCATTTCAAGACTCTTGTTTTGTGTTGATGGGTCAAGCTAAATGCACAGCAGAGCCACTGCAGCCAATATCTACTCCTAGAGAAAGTACCATACTCTCCAGTGATGAAATTGATGCTATTGAGAAAATAACTGTTGGCCACGCTGATAATGAGACATGGCACCAGCAAAGGGAGGGCAGAATAACTGCCTCAAACTTTCACAGAGTATTCACTAAAGTAGAATCAATGAAAGCCAGTGAAGAAAATAGTGCTAATAAATTTGTTGATAGCTTATTGGAAAAAGCTAAACCACCAACAAATTTACCAGCACTTAAATATGGCAGAGATATGGATCCTATTGCACTTGAGGAATTCATCAAATACTTCAAAAAAACATCACAAGGATGTTAGGTATATAGAATGTGGTATCTTTATTGATAGCGAGGCATGGTGGCCTCATGGTTAGTGCGCTCGTCTCTGGATCGAGCGGTCTGGGTTCAAGCCTTGGCCGGGGACATTGCGTTGTGTTCTTGGGCAAGACGCTTTACTCTCACAGTGCCTCTCTCCACCCAGGTGTATGAATGGGTACCGGCAAACTTAATGCTGGGGGTAACCCTGCAATGGACTAGCATCCCATCCAGGGGGGAGTGGAAATACTCCTAGTCGCTTCATGCTACAGAAACCGGGATAAGCTCCGGCCTGATGGGCCACTTGGCTCATATGCAGACTTTACCTTTTTTATCTTTATTGATAAAACTAAACAGTACTTGGGAGCATCCCCAGACTGACTGATAGAGTGCTCTTGTTGTGGGGAAGCGGTAGTAGGGATCAAGAACCCTTTTAGCATTGCCAATGAAATTCCCCCAGCACATAATCTGTCATACTTATGTATGTGTAATGCACAAGTAGCTTTAAAGCAGCAGCATCAGTACTTTGCATAGGACTAGGGTGAGATGACCACAACAAAGAGGCCATTGTGCTATTTCTTTGTATACACACAAAAGGGCTATCACTTGGAAACAATCAGATTTAATGCCACATACTGGTGTAGACTTGAAGAAAATCTAACCTGGTTTTATAGTAATTGTCTTTCACCAGCCCTGAAACTACTGCAAAAATAAATTGTTTAAAAAAATTACCTAGAAAATGGATCTGACTGAGAAAATTTTATAAACAGGTAATCATATTTCCATGGAGCTGCATAATATAATTGAACAATTACATGTATTATTGTACAGTCAATGCTTTATTTGATCCTTGATATCTAATGTCAAAAGTAGAAAATATTTATCAAGTTGTTAATAAAAAAATAGCTTCCTACATTAATTACACTAGTCTCATTAGACATCAACATAAATTTTATTACTGGGGTAGCCAGGGTTTGGTCAAAAGGGGCTCAAAGGGGGTGCAAGGCTAGAAAGGGAGGGGCCCAAGCTTTTTCTGAACTTGATTGTCCCATATATTTACTATATATTACTTTTCAGAGAAGTGGGCCAGGCCCTTTGTTCCCCCCAGCTAAGCCCCTGATTATGTGTATTTGTGGTGATGTCATCCTATCAGTGCAAGGAAATCAGTTTCACTAAACCTGTGAACATACTATTGATATCTTGAATTGTGTTATTCCAGAAGAGGCAGAAAAAGTCATTACCCAAACCATGGAGGCAACTATTTGTCAAACGATCTCCCAACCCCTTTCCAAATGAAAAGTGTAGTGTTTCTATGAATGTTTATCTCCTAAAAAACAGGCAGCAAACTGACCCCCCCCCCCTGGAATTTCCAATTTCCCTCCATGATGGGGTTATGGATTTCCTCGTGAATCACACATTTTACTCTATATCTTGAGCCCCCCAAAAACGCGTTTCTTGCAAAGAGGCTTGTACAAATTGCAAAATGCAGCACAGACAATAATGTTATCAAGATTACCAATAAGAGAGATAGGCAGTTTGTTCTTGATTATACAGAATGTTTTCAGCTGCCTGATGGCCTGTTGTACAAAAATGCGTAGATTAGCTATTGTCTTAGTTTTCTGTACATCACCCTTCGTGGACTGTTCTTGTCCATGTTTCCCTGGTGGAATAAAAAGGTCAGCTTTGTGCAGCAAAAGATCCTCTGCAATAATGAATCCACGATCCACCATTACTGCATCATATGGCTCAAGGATGTTGTAAAACTCTGATTCCCTTGTCAAATGGACATCCCAGGTGCACCCACCCCATGCCTCTGAGATGAAGTTGAAGGCCCCATTTGGGGGGATTGAAACTAGGATTTTTGCAGTATTGTGATGCTTGTAATCTGACCACACTGATGCTCTGATTACAGGGTCGCTTGGGGTCTGTATAAAAATTTTAGTGCAGTCTATTATATTGCGTACCTTGCAGTATCCTGGTTTTTTGAACTTCTTTGGCAGTGCTTTCTTTACAACTTCCATGCTAGGATTGTACATTAGGAATTTCAGTTCACTAGCCAAAATTGTGACCCATGTGTTGAAAATAGTTGATACAGTACTGTGTGAAATGCCAAATCTTTGTGCAAGGTCTGCATTTGTGGATCCCAAACGGAGTTTCATCAGTGTTAAAAGAAACTTGTCTTTTGAGAAAGAGCCTGTTTTGGTCCAAATTTTTTTTGGTGATTTTCTCAAGTTCCTGCCTTTTCTGGATGTTTTCTTAGGGCCACTCCAATATCTCACTTTTTAGAGATCCTTTCACAGAGTCAAATAATTTGTGAAAAGCAGGCTTTGATGGGATACCAATCAGCAAATTTACAGTCTGGTTATTTTTCAGATCTGAATACTTGAGTCCCTTATCCTGTTTGGCCACAAGTTGAACTTCCAGCAACTTCACTTTTTCACTCAGCTCCTGTATTTTCTCTGAAAGTTCCATGATTTTTCATCTTTGTCTTGCCTGCTTTTAAAGTAAGATGTGTTCACACAAAAATTCAAATTTTCATTAATTTCACACCAGCCATAGACATAGCAATGGTCATGAATTATGGATGCTCTGTCTTTGTCAAAACAATCACTGATAGAAGTAGAGGGCTCAGGGTCCAGGAGCTCAACACCATCACAAGCCAGGTTGTCAGCTGAGTGGTCAAGAACAGGTACTGGTATTTCATCGCTTCATGTATCTAGCTTAGCTCTTTTCTGGATCTTACTACAAGAGAGTTATCCTGTGGCATTGGTGGTGGGTGTTTGTAGGCTCTCGTTTTCTTGTTGTGACCAACTTGCAAAGTTGGGTCCGGGTTTTCAGCCGTTGGTTCACCGTCAATGAAGTGTAGATTACAAACTCTTGAATCCTTGTTAGGCATCCAAAGAATCCCACTCAAACTGTTCCTGCTTATATTTTTGGCCCGTTGTAATCAGCGTTCTGGGTTCTTCTTTTCTGCTGGGAACAGAAATAATTTGAAGGGTGGCTGGCAGTCAAATATGCTTGAGCCACTGTTACAACCATGCCGCTCACAGGTTGTAGCAGCCCATTTCCCTAGCCTTTGTCCACTGTTAGGACAGCCTATGACAACACAATTTCGGTGGCCAAATCCCATGGACAAAGTATCTACATTAAAACAAAAGAAATATGACACAAGTCTGAGCATAAAATAAGTAAAAATCATACTCATAGCATCTCAAATTGACTACACTCTGCAGCCTAAAATCATTAGAAAGATGTTACCAAAAAGTAATGAAACAATAGCTTACTCTTAAAATACATTTGATTTGGTTTCCCTATATTCCTGCACACGTAATTTGGCTCAAAAGGAGGGTTTCTTTGCATGAAAGGTCACTGAAGCCAACCCACTCGATGTAATCCAATATGGCAGAGCTGCAAGTTGATGCCCACTTTTCTGAGCCCGCCTACCCACAATGCCGTGCGATCCAACAGGAAGTCCAGAACTCCTGATGCATGTATACCAAAAACCAACAAGCGCATGAAAAATTTTTTCCTGTTATTGCGATTACTTAGTGATGAAAAAATTATCACAGATGACGGCACTAGTTGTAACTAGCCCAGTTTAATGATCTCCGAACGAGAGATGAAGACTGCCACGTGATAGTGGGTATCATGTAGCGAGCTTCATACCTTCTTTGGAAAGCTCCGCTGTTGCAATTGTCGCAACTTGGAATTCAAATTTCAATGATTTATGTCTCCCCTGCCCTTAGTAAAAGGAGCTTTGATATTTGCACATCAACACCGCCTTTCCGGTAGCAGTAGCTTTGCTGACAGCTAGAGCCGCGAATTTTGACACATAATGCTTAGAAAGTATTAATTCACCACTGGAGTTTGATTTAAATATGAAAGGAATGTGGGGTTGCAAACCCCTCCTTCAGGTACTTCCAGACAGACCCCAATGTGTTTTGTCATGGTATCCAAGTGAAGTTTTCCAAAGTACTGAGGAAAGAAAAAGCTAAAGAATTGAGGCAAATTTATCTTAAATCAAGCTCATAAACTTTTCAAAAAGCGATTTCACCATTAAGCTAGCTCACGCAGTGACTCACAAACCCACTACTTTGAATGATTAAAAACAGTTACCTGCCTTCATTGCCTTCATAAAGCTCACTTTTACATTGTTTCTCACAGAGATGATCTAGTGTGCAGTGAAAGTTGTATAAACTGTGCAAATGGCAATAAGTAAAAAATTAGCTGTGATTCTTGCTATAAAGTCCTGCTGAAATTTGAAGCGTATGCGGGAAATGCATTTTAGTGCTGCATTGTCATGGCAGTTTTCAACTAATCACGCAAGGCAAAAGTGAGATGACATTACTGTCAAATAATGTCATTCTTTTGTAAGCAAAACTTTGTGCACAGTGTGATACTCCAAGAGAAGATTGTGCAAGGATTATCTCAGAAGAAAAGTAAAAATGTGCCAGGGGATAATTCATGCCCAAATTTTGCCTTTGTAAGAACCCCCTCCCCCTCCCCAAGCAGTCCAATCTTAAAGTGGTCAACTTTAAAAAACACGACCTCGATGAGCTCTTAACATGAGCGCACATGATGGTCTCGCGAGACTGGTCAGCAGATACCTTGTTTTGACATCTATCAATTGACTATGACATGGATGTCCAATAGCAAAGATGTAGCTATGGTTATGTTGCTACTTTTCTTAAGGTATGGGGCTCGATTAATGGACATGCTTTGCAAGTGTCGTACAGACGTACGTACGGGTGAACAAATGTCCGGACAATCATGTGACAACCAAATTTTTTTAGCTTGATGGGTTACCAAATTTTCTAAGATATGGAGCTCAACTTGCGGACCTTCGGCAGACAGGAGCTCCGCTAATATAAAATCAGTTGATGCATACTGCATCATATTGCTGGAAAGTCCGGAGCAGCTGTTGAATGATGAATCTATTTTAGAAGTTTGTACTTTAAGTGCTTTGAACTTGATAAATTAACAGAAAAAGTTGTTAGATCTCCGTGCTTAGAACCTGCTTTTGTTTAGCAAGTGAGTGCCTTGCAAGTAAGCCACCTGTTTCATGGGCTGGGTTTCAACTTTTATATTGGGTTGCTAAAGAATTGTATTAAATTACATATTAAATAAAACAACATTTGTGCATAAAATGATGTACCAACCATGAGAATTTTGTTATTGATTATTCTTCATTTATTACCTCCGTTTTGAAATCACTGATTATCATTGCAATCTGATTGGCTCTCAACAATGCGATTTATTCACAAGTCGCACTATCTTTTGCTCTAAATCGCATCTTTTTCTCAGCCAATGAAAATGGGAAAGTAAAACAAATCAACCAATCAGATTCCAAGGTTAGTTGAAAGTAATCAATAAAATTGCCGGAAAATGGAAGACGAAAAAGCTACTTTGGCAAATTTTGCAACTTTTATTGTCAAAACTTTGTTTTCTTTTTTTTTCAAAACAATCGATGAATTTATTTAATTACAGTTTTTGAATGATGATAATGAGCTCCTTCAGGCTACTTTAAGTGGAGGTTTCCCATCATGAGTATCCATTTTGACAAAATAATAGTTTTGCAATTTTTTTCTGCAACATCTGCTCAAGATCCATGTGACACGGAGTCCAGCAAATTAGACAAACAAACAAAAACCACACAACAACAAATCCAAAGCTATCCCAAGAAAGAAAATGTTCCACATTTTGAGTAGTTTCAAACGAAGTAACACAAGAGCTCAACTCTGACGCTGTGAATAGTCAAAATATGCCCTGCTCCACAAAATAGTGAATGAAAGTCTTCCGAAGCTGGTGCCAGGCCTGCCATCTTGAAAATGGCACCACAAGAACTTGATAAGGTCCTGAGTATAAAGTTCTAAATTTCTGGTCAACTGCGCAATGTCATCTGTGAAACAGGAGGCCATGCATGTGACTCTCCCTTAGAAGACTGCAATGAAGCAGACAAGAATCAAAGGATAGAATGGTCTCACATTATCAGTGGATATAAAGAAGTGCAAAACGAAAAAGTCTCCAACTAAGCCAGTGCAAATGAAGCCTCAAATCAAGTGCTTGCAGTCCAAAGCCAACAAGCACCACTGGTTCCTATTCATCATGTCTAACAAGAAGGCCAAATACAGCAGGGAATGGGCTTCAATCCTGGTTTTCAGCCAGCTGAATTTTTGGGATTTCCACCAAGTTTTCCTGTGCAGTTTCCTTACAGCATGGCAGCCTTCACTTCTTCTGGTAGCCCCATTTCATCACTGAATTATACAGGTTGCACGCTCTATTTCCACTCCTAGAGAAGAAACCAGAACCACAAAAGAAACAAAGGGCTCACATCATTGAGTCAGATGATGAAGATTGAACTTTCAAGTGCACTGTTTTGGCTATGACTTGAGAAAAGGACATGTAAGTCTTTCCGTTGTCCAAAATGAGATATAAATGTGTTTCCAGCTACTGGTTCAATAAAATATTGTTACTGAACAAAATCTTGTAGTTCTTGTATTTAGGCTATTAAATTGTGCGATTTCAAAACGGATGTATTAAAGTGGCAATTGAACTATCTTTGTCGTGCAATTTTGGTCTGAGATCATACTCGTGATTTCAAGTCAAACTCATGCTGCACGCTAGTTCAATTTACAAATCACACGTATGATTTCAGACCAAATTGCACTCCACTCAGTTCAATTAGCATAATTAATCAAAGTGAAATCATCATCAAATAATCATCATTAACCTATCAAACATGTTACTTTCTGCAGTGGTAAATTTTGTATTTTAATTCCTTTGTTTCATTTCACTGTACAATTCTTTCACAAGATGCAAAAAAGTGCGATAGGTGTAGCTTATTTGATTATGGTGATTTTTATTTCTTTTTCCACACATAAGAAATTATGGTCTTCTTAGTGATTACTGTGATGGATCACATTTTCAGACTACATCCACTTTTCTCATATAATCCTGAAGCCTTGCAATTGATCCTGTATTTTGACGAATTTGAAGTATGCAGTCCTCTTGGATCAAGGGCCAATAAGCACAAGATTGGTTTGTTTATATAATAGTTGTTGGTCCCTGAACCCACACTGCCTCATGAACAGGGGATAGTTCCAAGATTGTATATGTTATAAAAATATGTACAATTTTGGAGATCTACAATTCCAGCAATTCCTACCACATACAATCTTAATATTGGTTATTGAATAGAAAATAATTCATGTGTTTATAATTAACACTCAAAATAAGGTGATTATTGCATAACTTGTAAACACATTATTTGCTC